GGTGCATAATTTGCAAAAAAAGACAAACACAAAACTGCTGTCTAAAGAAAATTCTGATTTTATTGCAACAAATCTTCTGGCTACAAACAAACAAAACATTCATCTCATCTTGTTAAAAATAAAGTCAATTCTTTTCTGTACACCTGTATCAAACCACTGCCATCTGTAACTTGAAGCTTCTCATTTAACATTGTCTTGTATTCATCATCTCTATCTTCTAAACCATGCATTAGTTCAACCTGTTCAATACAAACACCACATCATTTGTTGGTAATCAACATAAATTTATGATGTTGTGTCTTGTCCTAATGGGGCCCACATAATTAGAGCATATTAAACATTGAAAGTGTATGTATTTATGCTTCTAACTATTTTTGCTTGTAGGACTATTGGCAAGAGGATTAAAAGTGCCTTGATCTGGGTGGTAACTACACCAGTATGTGGCTTGGTGCTGTGCATCTTACACGGTTAGTATCTCCTCCACTGATTAATTTATTCCTACAAGAAACATTTTCACTTATGATCAAATGCAATTAGGAGTAGAACCTACTTTTAGTCATTTAGAAGGTTGATCTCCTTGGTTTCCCATGCAAGTAGGTATGATGGGCACTGCCAAAAAAATTAGCTTACATGGCAAAAATTACTATTCTAGCTTTGCATTTTGTATACTTATAATAGGATTGATGAATGAGATGATTCTAGGCTTTGACATAATCTGGCTGTGGAGTGTTTCATGGTCACACTAAAGCATAAATGGGCATGATTTCTGAGTTGACAGCATTGCTTGCTTTATGAAAACGTGATTTTTAGTTACTTTAATGAAGTCTTTTCAAGAAACTTACAACATTCGAGTTTTAGAAAGCTCTTAGGCGATTTTAACAACTAAAAAGTCTTTTTAATTGGATTTATGAGTGATTGTGCATTGCAATATGCATATAGTTACAATGAGTTACAATTTTTTTGTTACTTGCTGCAGGCTCAAAGGGTGATAAAGCAACAGTTTCTGCTATAAATTACACTGATATTCCACATACTCAGGTAAAAAAAGGTATTTATTTTTAATCTATCTATTTTTTAGGGTACATAAAGGTATTTATTTTTAATCTATCTATTTTCTAGGGTACATAAGTTTTTTATTTTTCATTTTCTAATATATATTCTATTATATTATTTTGATTAAAAATTCATTTTTGTGAATATTCGTTTATAACATATAGCTCAACAGAATGAGATTAAAAAGAATGTCATCCAAAAAGCTTCTTGCTACTCTACAAGCAATACATATAACACCTGCACCTCTTCTTTTCTAACAGATCCATCATGTTCACCCTTTAACATGATTCATACAAATCAATTCAATCATATTATAACAAAAACAATAATTAATCTATAACTAAAGTTATTACAGATAATAAAAACAACCTTGAGAAACAGAGAGTTTACCTTTCACAGAAACAGATAATAAAAACAACCTTTTCTAACAGATCTTTTATAGATCTTAGGTACTCACCCTTTCACAGGATTCATACAAATGAATTCAATCATCTTTAAATAATAATAAAATGATAATTAATCGACATGTGATGAAAATTTTACTAACCTCAATCTGCCACATTAAATCAGGAATGGAAACAAGTAGAAACATCAACTCATTAACCAACAAAGACAGAAGAGAAAGAAAGAAAGAAAGAAACAACAAAGAACAGCCATACCTATAGGAAGTTCTTATGCAGTATTAATCACAATTAACATCAAACATAAATATTTATACATTTTTAGAATGTAACTGTCAACTGACAGTTAATACCTAATTATGGCAGTTACTTTCTATCTAACTAACACAACTTTCACTAATTCCCATTCTTAAAAATAGGTGAAACCAAATATCAAATGCATGTATTTATATTTGTAAGATTGGGCTTGGAGCAATCTGTATTTATTAAAGAAAATATTACAGTTAGCTAATTACATATTGAAAAATAAAGCTAAGTTTAAACAGATTGACCACCCAAGGGTAAAAAGGTCAAACACATAAATTATGAAGTAACGGGTTTGCAGGTGGTTTTGTGTTGGACACCTGTTTAGCCCATTTCTAACTTTCAAATTTCTGCAAAAGATCATATTCAAAATTTTAAAAGTATTTTTAATTTTCAAATTTTTGTAAAAGTTCATAAAATTTTATAACAAACACATAAAAATATTCAAACAAGCTGAAAAAGTAACTGGATGCTGAAAAACTAATTGATAACCTATACAGTTTTGGTCCCTGCTTTAGTTTTGTCATTGTACAGTTTTGTTTTTGCATAGTTTTTGTCCCTAAACATGCGTAATCATTATTGCTTTATATGGTAAATAATTATGTAGGTTGGCAACAAATGTTTAATGGATAAATCATGGATATCCTCTAGTAGATTATCAAATGCATATGATGAAGGTGTGAATGCTTTTCTAGAGTTTGCACAAACTAATAATCCAAAGTTAGATGTTATTCCATGCCCTTGTGTAAATTGCATCAATTTGTGTCACCACTCAATTGACAATGTCCGTTATCATTTGTTTGCCCACGGCTTCGATGAGAATTATAAGATTTGGTCTTTCCATGGAGAAAAACAACCCAATAGTGATTCTAGATGCCCTAACAATTCCATTCCTCCTGATGCTATTTATACAAAGGATATGCTTCATGATGCCTTCAAATACGTAGACGATGAACCTGATTCGTTGAAATCACTTCTTGAAGAGTGTGATAAGCCACTTTATGTAGGGTCGAAGTATAATGCACTTAGTGGATTATTGAAATTCCAACATTTGAAGGGTCAATTTGGATGGTCTGATGCTAGTTTTGATGCTTTGTTGTCTGTCCTAAAAGATATCTTACCATCAAACAATACCATCCCTAGCTCGATATATGAGTCCAAGAAGTTGCTAAAAGCAGTAGGTCTACAATATGAGAAGATTCATGCATGTGAAAATGATTGTGTTCTATTCTGGAAAGAACATAAAGATGCTTCTCAATGTCCAACTTGTGGCACTTCTCGTTGGAAGAAGAATTCCAAAAACGTACCTTCAAAAGTTTTGTGGTATTTTCCTATCATTCCTAGATTTAGAAGAATGTTTTCAATACCACAAATTGCACATGACTTAACTTGGCATGCACAAGGTCGGGTCAATAGTGGGAAGCTTACTCATCCTCGCGATACCCCTTCTTGGAAGCTTGTTGATAACACGTGGAAAGAATTCGGACAGGAAAAACGAAATCTTAGATTAGCCTTGTCTGCTGATGGTATCAATCCACACAAGTCATTAAGTTCCAAGCATAGTTGTTGGCCGGTTATCCTAATAACATATAATCTACCCCCTTATTTGTGTATGTCAAGAAAATTCATGATGTTGACTCTGTTGATATCCGGGCCAAACCAACCTGGTAACAATATTGATGTCTACTTGGCACCATTGATAGAAGATCTAAAGCTCTTGTGGGAAACTGGCGTTGAGACTTTTGATTCTCATAAGAAAGAATACTTCAATTTAAGAGCAATATTACTTTGGACTATAAGTGATTTTCCCGCGTATGGTAATCTTTCGGGTTGTGTTACCAAAGGTTATTATGCTTGTCCAATATGTTCAAAGAATACTTGTTCACAATGGCTGCCAAAGTCCAAAAAAGTATGCTTCCTTGGGCATAGAAGATTCCTACCACTTGAACATCCTTTTCGCAAAAGAAAAAAACATTTCAACAATCAACAGGAGCACGATTTTATGCCACAACCATCATCAGGTGAAGAGATTTATGACTATCTGGCGGGATTTGAGACTACATGGGGTAAGAAGATAAAGCCAAAGAAGGTAGGATCAAAGAAGATAAAGTTAAAGAAGATAAAGTCAAGGAAGGGAGCGTCAAAGAAGGAAACGCCAAAGAAGGAAAAGACAAAGAAGAAAAAAGAAAGTATCGACGAGAGATCTAAATTTTGGCATAAGAAGTCGATTTTTTTTGAACTTGAATATTGGAAGAAGTTGCCTGTTCGCCATCAGTTAGATCTCATGCACATAGAAAAAAATGTGACCGAGAGTGTTTATGGGACAGCGTTGAATTTGCCTCACAAGACGAAGGATGGATTAAAAGCACGGCAAGATCTTGAAGCGTTGGGCATCAAGACTGAATTACGACCTGAACCAAAAGGGGATCGACATTGGCTTCCGCCTGCCAAGTACACATTGAATTCCGCAGAGAAACATCTATTTTATGAAACCCTGTCTAACATAAAAGTTCCTTATGGGTATTGCTCTAATTTCAAGAATCTCGTGTCGGATGATGTTTCAAAGATGAATGGTTTGAAGTCTAATGATTGCCATGTACTAATGCAACAACTTCTTCCATTTGCAATCAAAGGGGTGTTAGATGTGAAGGTGCGGAGAACAATCCTAAGCCTGTGTCATTTTTTCAATGAGTTGTGTAGTAAAGTTGTTGATGTTAGTAAGCTAGGCAAGTTGCAAAGTGACATCGTATTAACATTATGTTTGTTAGAGAAGTACTTTCCTCCTTCATTTTTCGATGTCATGACTCACTTGATGGTGCATTTAGTTAGAGAGGTGAGGTTGTGTGGCCCGGTTCATTTTAGGTGGATGTATCCATTTGAGAGATACATGAAAACACTTAAAGGGTATGTAAGAAATCATCATCGACCCGAGGGTTGCATTGCAGAGTGTTATGTGGCAGAGGAGGCCTTAGAATTTTGTTCAGACTACTTAAAAAACAAGAAATCAATTGGCAATCCTCATGAGCGTGTTGATGAAAGAATCCGCAGTGGCAAGCCTTTATCAAAGGCTACAATTGATGCTGTAGATGCTCAGTTACTTGATCAAGCTCATCTTTATGTATTACGAAACACTGCTGTTGTGGAGCCGTATATAGAGTAAGAATTACATGAAACTGTATACTCTTATACCATTATCTATCATATAAAACATTCTTTTAACTTGTAATACACTTCAGGCAACATATGTTGGAGTTGAAGGATCTGAACCCCCGTCATGCTCGCAAGAGTACATGGTTGCAGAGCCAACATAGTCGGACATTTATTAGTTGGTTTAAGAAAGAGGTTTTTTTTAAAATAAGATTGTTAGAATTACAATATTTTTAATTATTTTTTTGAATTACATTAATTATATATTTTTCTATTAGGTTGGAAAACGTTTGGCTAACGGGGAAGATATTTGTGATGATGTTCGTTGGTTGGCCAAAGGGCCTAATTTTGCTGTTACTAAATATAGCGGTTTTGCCATAAATGAATATCATTTTCATACAACATCTCGTGATGAGTCTAGAACAACTCAATGCAGTGGAGTGTCTTTAGTTGCACATACTATGCAGATTGCTAGTGCAAAAGACTCCAATCCTGTGTATGGTGCTGTTACTTACTTCGGCCGTATAAAGGAGATATGGGATCTTAATTATCACATGTTTAGTATTCCTGTATTCATGTGTGATTGGGTTGATAGTCGTGGAGTAAAAAAGGATGATTTAGGATTCACGGTAGTTAACTTTGATAGGCTTGGTCAAAAGTCTGAACCCTTCGTATTAGCTAGTCAAGTCAAACAAGTTTTTTATGTTCAAGATCAACAAGATGAGAATTTGCATGTTGTTGGATTCACACCTCATAGGATGTACAAGTATGGATCAAATGGTGAAACTGATGATATGCTGGAATTTGATGTTACTTTTGATTTAGCACAAGATTCCGCTTTATTAGACCTTGATGATGATTTTTTGTGTACGCGTCCGGATGGCGAGGGCATATTAGTGTAAATATTTTTTTTGCAGAACAATAAAGTTTTTGGTATGTTTTTATTTCAGATTTTGAATGTGATTAATCAATGTCCAACTGCAACAAATAACAACGTACTTAATTTAATTTCAATCTTGTTGAAACAGGTTGTGTTTTTGTGACATGGAATCAGATTCAGCTTCTGATCACGATGAGGAGTCCAAACAAAGAGGTCCGACAACAAAGACAAACGCTAATAAAGTGAAGCTTGTAATAACTTACAATAAAAAAGGTGTCCCGGTTGGAAAGGAAGCCACAAAACTGTCTACTTTTGAGGGTTTGGTTGCAAGAACAATGGTTCCCATAACCTATGACTCGTGGCTGGAAGTTAGTGAGGAAGTAAGGGAAGGATTATGGCAATATGTTTTGGTAAGTCTCTGTTTTCTTCCTGTTATTACCTTTGTTCAGATCTGTTTTTGTCCCTGTTTTTGTCCCTGTTCAGATTTGTTTTTGAACCAACCTTTTTTTATGTTTCAGGAAAAGTTTGTAGTTGACCCAAAGAGTCGGAAGCAAATTCTCCAATCGATCGGGAAGAAGTGGAGAAACTTCAAGCATTATCTATATGCCAAGTTCATTAAGAACCGAAGTAAAGATACCAAGGCAAATCTATTCAAACCTCCGAAAGATTATCCGTTTATAAAGAAAGAAGATTGGAAAGTTTTTGTATCCCATAGAGTTACAAAGAAGTGGGAGGTTTGTTAAACTTTTATTATATGCATTTGTAGTTACAATTTTAATGTTTGTATTTATAATTTTAATGTTTCTAATGCAGGAGAAAAGTATGAAAGCTAAAAATACTCGTGCACATCATAAATACAATCATCGTTTGAGCAGAAAAGGATATGCTGGACTCATTAATGACATTGTATGATTCCCACTGAATATTGATTATTTTATTTGTATATATATATGTTAATTGACTTTGTTATTCTTGATAATTTAGATGCAAGAAACCGGCAAGACGGAAGAGGAGATTGATAGGACACTGCTGTGGAAAAAGGCAAGAGAGTTGAAGACAGGAGGATACGATGCAGATGTGAAGACGATTGTTGATAAAATTGTAAGTTTCATTAATTCCCAAATATATAAAAAAATAACATTTGTCCCATTTTATTTTTCTAACATTTGTCCCATTTTATTTTACAGGATGAGCTTCAGAAATCGGGAAGCTTTGGAGAGGTTACATGTGGAACACATGATGTGCTTACAGAGGCGTTGGGTACTCAGGAACAACGTGGGCGTGTACGAGGGATGGGTAGATTTATAACGCCACAACAATACTTTTATTTACCCAAGAATGTTAAGTATTACTTGGAGATTGAGAACGAGAGGGTGGATAAACGGATCAACAAACTTGAAGATGAATTGGAGAAACTAAAAAGAGGTGTACTTAATGTTTCTGAAGCTGCAAGTTGCCAAATAGGGGGCGTCATTGAAGATTTTGAAAAACAACCACATAATGAATCACTTGTAAGTCCTTGAAGACAATTATGAAAAATATATTTAAATAATTTTGTTTTTCTACAAACTAACATACTATATTTTTCAGGATAATTCATGTCTTCTTGCGGTTGAATTTGCTGCAAATGTAGTTGCTAAAGGAACCATAATGAAAGCATCGGGTATTTTGAAATATATTTGCATTATTATTATTTATATATTTTCATTTTTTAGAAGATTGGATCTTAATTATTTTTTATGTTTATGTAACAGATGAAAACATTGAAGTTATGATTGAAACAATTTTGCAAGGAGAAGCTTTAGTACCCTTTCCACTTGAAGAGGAGTTCATTGTGAAGGTCAAAGATGCACTGGGACACATACTAAGTTGGCCAAGACACTTAGTTATTCGATGCTCTGACCTGGTAATACTATTTGAACATATTTTCCCTTGGTTATCTTAATTTTTCTGATATTTGAGTGAGTTCTTAATTTTTCTGGTAATACTATTTGTATTTTTGATTGCATTTGTAGGGAAAAGTGGTGGCGAAATCTGTGAAAAAGCATGCAACACCAGTGAAGAAAGCTGCAACACCAGTGAATGAAGATGTAACACCAGTGAAGGAAGATGCAACACCTCCAAAAGAAGAAATAGGAAGTAATAAGAAAGAAAAGGGGACAGGAAAAATGGTTGATGGAGAAAAACAACCATGTGATATGGAAGGAGGGAATGATGTGGAAGAAGGGAATGATGTGGAAGAAGTACTGATTGGAATAGAAAAGAAGATTAAAAAGGAGAAACAAAATGTGACCGTGCAAAGAAGGTGGACCAGAGCACAGATGAAGACAAGGATAAGGATTGAGAACAGTAGTATTTTGAAAATGACTGCAATGATGGCTGATGGACAAGTTACAAAGGTTGATTCTATAAGAGTGCAGAGTGAGAATGATCTTTTTGGGTACGATAGTTACACGTACTTAACTTGGGATGATTTTGAAGCAGTTCTTACAATGGATGAGCTGACCGGTGCTGTTATTGTGTCTTATATGATGTAAGTGCAAGAAATTTAATTTAAATAACAATGTGTCTTAAAAAAAATGTTTTAATGAATTTAGTGTTTGTATGATAACAGGGTGTTGTTTAACAAATTGAAGTATGGCTCCCCAGAAAAAGACCATGGAATTTGCTTTGTGAACCCGGCAGTAATCTCACCAAGTACGCGTAAAGGGAAATCTAAGAATATTGACGATGCAAGCAGAGGTTTAGCAGATCGGTTGTCTAAAAGAAAGGGCAATGACATCATCTTTATGCCCTACAATCCCGGGTATTGTTATTTGACATTTTATTTTTAAAATGACTGCAATTATGTTATTTGACATTTTTTTTGTGGTTTTTGTAGAAGACATTGGGTATTGGGTGTACTAGACATGAAATCGGATACTTGCTATTATCTTGATTCCTTGAGCTCTGCCAATTTCAATATGCAGTTAAAGCAAATTGTTGATTCGTAAGTAATATAAATTATCAAAACACTTGATGTGAGTACAATAAACACATATTTGTTAATGTTTTTTTATAGGGCGATGGTTCTGTACACTACACAAAGTGGATCCAACAAAAGGGTTAAACTAAATTGGGTTAATGTTACGGTCAGCACTTAATTCGTTATTGAAATTGTAGTTTTAACTTTATTTTTTGGATCAATTGAAATGATCATTTTATATGTAATTGTGTAGTGTCCAGTTCAGCCCGGATCTACCGAATGTGGCTACTACATGCTAAGGTTCATGAAGGAGATAGTGGAAGAAGGAATTGAAGTGTTGGTCAAAGACAATGTAAGGATATAGCATTCTACTTTCATTACTATAATTCATGGCATCCTTACTGTTACAGAATATGTGCTTTCATTCATTTGAAAGTACAATGCTCTATTAAGAAAGAATAATTTACATTTTATGCTTAGTTGTTAAATATATCAACTTACTATTATAGAATATGTTAATATGCTATTTTTTATTAATAAAAACAATATGCAAATGTTTTCACAGATCGGGGATGGCAAAGTTGAGTACACAACTGCTGATATCGATGAGACACGTGAAGAATGGTCAACGTTTGTTACAGGCTTCATTTATCGATGATATGTATGATCTTTTGACAATGTATCCGCAAAACAATGTTATGGTTAACCATTAATGCTAGGTATGGTCTTTTGACATGTGTAATGCTAGGTAGTCTTTTGAGACACATGTACAATTTTTTGCTAACTTTTAGTAATGTTACTTAAGGTAACATGTAGTTACAACTTAGGTAATTCAACATATATGTAAAGTTGTTTGACAATTAGATGAAAATGAATGTTTTGGTATATTTGTCATTTATTATGTGTATTCACGTTGTAAATGTGTGTTTTAAATGCACGTCGTAAAGGCGCGTAGTAAAAACGAAAGACGTAAGGTTAGGACATGCGAATGAGCATCGTCTTTCTTTATGACATGGCCTTCCTTGACACGCATTGCGTATCATAAGCGCGCATTGTCTGTAGACGACGCGCATTTGAGCGTCGTCTTCCTTTATGACATGGCCTTCCTTGACACGCAATGCGTATCATAAGCGCGCGTCGTCTACAGACGACGCGCATTTGAGAGTCATCTTCCTTTATGACATGGCCTTCCTTGACACGCAATGCGTATCATAAGGGCGCGTCGTCTCTAGACGACGCGCATCTGCACGTCATCTATACTTATGACATGGCCTTCCTTGACGCGCATTGCGTATCATAAGGGAGCGTCGTAAATGCGCGTCGTAAATGCGCGTCGTCTTGAGACGACGCGCATATGCGCGTCGTCTATCTTTATGACATGGCCTTCCTTGACGCGCATTTGCGCGTCGTCTGAGCCTTTTACGACGCGCAATGAGCGTCGTAAAAGGCCTTTTTTCTAGTAGTGAGGGTGTGTTATGAGCACCAAGATAGGAGCTCTACGTGATGAATCAGTCAAGGGAGGCCAGATCTATAGTTTTTGGAAGCAGATCTGACCTTAGAAGCGAGTTGGAGTGGTTGCATGGCATGGACTCGCCGAGTCTGTTCATCCGACTCGGCGAGTAGCTTGAAGATTGCCTTGGGACTGCTCAGCGAGTGGTCCAATCGAGTCATGGGTAGACTCAGTGAGTCAGGGTGAGTTGGAGAGGGAGGACGAGTGGACAGAGTCAAACCTGGACTCGCCGAGTTGTCCTTGAGACTCGGCGAGTTGAGTCGGGGTGGCCTCGCGAGTCATTCAGGTGAAACTTGTCATGTAAAGGGGGGGATACTCGACGTGTAGTAAGAGGATTTTAGAGGGTTGGTAAAAACGTCTAGACTCGCCGAGTCGCCTTGGTACTCGCCGAGTCCGGTCAGAGTTGACCGTTGACCGTTGACCAGAGTTGACCTGTGTTGACTCCTTATTGATAGTCAACCTTAGAGATATAAAGTGTTAATTAGAAGCATATAATGTTATAGGAGGATTAGAGCTCGGAGGATCGAGCACGAGGGATTTCCAGGATTCGTGAGATACCGAGATACGCGAGGTGAGTCTTCTCACTATACTATATTACCTTGAGTAGGTAACCTGTGTTATGTGATAGAGTATTGTATGCTATGCATGTTATGTGTTGTACTGCATTATTTCTATGTGATATATGTAGTGCATGTTTATCAGAGCTAGAACCTGACGGTTCCCAGAGTTTGGGTGCACGGACCCACAGAGTTATAGCCTCGAGTGGCTAATATGTGTTATATGTGGTATTTTGGGAAACTCACTAAGCCTTGTGCTTACAGTGGTTGATGTTATTGTTTCAGGTACTAGTGACGATCGCGGGAAGGCGCCGGCTTGATCCGTACACACACACGCTCGGAGTTTTACATTGTGATCTTGGGATTTTGTATTGACCTATTTTGGATAATTAATATGGTTGTTTGATGAATATTGATGGAATTATGTTTTATAAAAATTGAAAAATTTGTTTTGAAATTTACGGTGTTACAAATTGGTATCAGAGCCTTGGTTTGAGGGATTCGGGTGCACCTTCGGGAGTATTTGAACTCAAACTGAGGAATTGGAAAGATATTTTCAAAATAAAACCAAAATTTTCTAAGAGTAAAAGACTTTATTGAAAAAGAAACAAATTCCGGGAAGAAACGTGTGTACGATTAGTCAGCGCCCGAACGGTGAATTCCCAAAATACCTTTATACTACGTGATATTAATATTAAAATGATGTGTTTGCATGCTAAAGTAGGCTAGGTATTGCTAATAGGACTAGAGTGGCCTGATTTGTGATTCCTTAGCCTAGGGAGGGGTGAGCTGCTATGAGATGCTGAGAGTGAGTAGGTAGCAGCAAGGGGTTTATGAGAGATCTGTTAGAAAGTGGTTTGCGCATGATAGTGTACTTGGGAATTGGGATTCGAAGACGAAAGTTTGGGGTGTGTACTGAGACGGTGTGGACAGTAGTATTGGGCCCGTACTACTGAAGGCACCGGGGCAGTACACAGTCCAAATAAGAATCTTGGGATACCAAGAATCAAGGAGGGGTGGATTGTCGGATTTAAGAGTGTTCGAGTGAATTCTAATTTATCGCATGCTGTATTTCAGAGGTTGATCATGGTGAGGACACGTCATATGCCGGAGGATGCCGGAGCTAGTGATGAGGAGATTCGACAGATCATTCATGAGGAGGTGGCTGCGGTCATCAGAGTTGAGATACCAGAGATGTTCGGGTCTATTAAGACGGCGCTGATTGAGACATTTGACGAGCGTTATGCCACTCTTTCTGAGGCTGCTGTTGCAGCGACTACCGCAGCGATCGCAGCGGCGAGACCCCAGGGAGGTGATGCGTCACTGTTTCGGGAATTCAGCAACACCAAACCACCAGACTTTGATGGTACACAGGATCCAATGGCAGCTATGAGGTGGATATCTGACATGGAGGGGTGCTTCTTCACTTGCTCATCCCCTGAGCATTTGAAGGTTCGGTTCGCGGTGAACCAGCTTCGCTTGGGAGCGAAGGACTGGTGGAAGTTTGTGACGGCGCACTTCACGCCTACTGAGCTTTCGGCAGTGACCTGAGAGAGGTTCACTACCATGTTCCGCGATGATTATGTTCCCCAGGTGGAGAGGGAGCGTCTGGCACAGGAGTTTCTGACCCTCAAGCAGGGTACCGAGTCAGTTACAGCAATAACGAGGATGTTTCATGAGAGGGCGATGTTCTGCCCTGAGCACGTGTCCACTGAGTAGGCACGTATGAGCCGCTACCTGAGCATTCTGAGACGGGATATTCGAGAGTTCGCTGCGAACTCCTCGTATCGGACATTTGCTGAGCTTCAGGCAAATGCCCGGAAGAGGGAGATTGAGCTTGAGACTCAGGCCAAGGAGGAGGCGGAGTCTCTAGGGAGGGATCGGCGGCCGGCACAGTCTCTGCCGGCAGCCAAGCGGGCCAAGCCCGCTGATCCCAAACCCGGGAGCCAGAAGGGCCGCACTTATGGGAAGTGCGGCAAGGGTCACGATGGAGTCTGTCGAGCAGGGTCTTGCTACAAATGTGGCAAGGAGGGGCATATGGCCAAAGACTGCCCCAAGGGGTTTGCAGTGTGTTTCCACTGCAACCAGACCGGACACCGGAAGGCGGAGTGTCCGCTGCTGCATGGAGCGTCTCAGGGATCTGCTCCCGCCGCCATCAGAGCTACAGAGAGTCGGCCCGTGAAGGCCGAGGCACCGAGAGCTCGAGGGAGAGCCTTTCAGCTGACTGCGGAAGAGGTCCGCGCTGCACCCGACGTTGTGGCTGGTACGTTTCCTTTTATATATTTATTTTCGTGTTGAGATATTATGCTTATATTATGCTATGCATAGGTACCTTCCTTGTGAACTTTGTGCCTGCTTTAGTGTTATTTGACTCGGGTGCGAGTCGGTCTTTTGTATCTTTGGCCTTTAGTCAGCATATCAGTGTTAGTCGTGAGGCATTGAGTCGGCCTCTGCGGGTTTCCATAGCCGCCGACAAAGTGATTTGTGCCACGGAGGTCCTCCGGGGATGCGTGTTAGAGATTTTTGGGTTTGAGTTCCCGATTGACCTGATTCCTATTGCGATGGGTGATGTCTGTGTTATAGTGGGCATGGACTGGTTGAGCTGATTCGGCGCGGTTATCGATTGCGAGCGTCAGCTGGTGACCATACGAGATCCTAGTGGGGAAGTTCTTTCGGTTTACGGCGAGGGTACACGTTCTGGATCAGCCTTTTGTTCGGCCGCTAGGGCGAGGCAGTGTTTACAGCAGGGCTGTAAGGGTTTCGTGGCGTATGTGATGGATACGCGAGTGATCTCCGAGAGACCGAGTTCAGTGGATGAAGTTCCGGTGGTGCGTGAGTTTCCAGATGTTTTTCCCGAAGAGCTACCAGGTGTGCCTCCCATGAGGCAAGTGGAGTTCGGTATCGATTTGGTTCCGGGAGCCGCGCCTATCGCTAAGGTGCCTTATCGCCTTGCACCTCAAGAGATGCAAGAGTTATCCTCGCAGCTTCAGGAGCTGCTGGGGAAGGGGTTTATTCGGCCGAGTAGCTTGCCGTGGGGAGCACCCATTATGTTTGTGAAGAAGAAAGACGGCTCGCATCGCATGTCTATTGATTACCGAGAATTAAATAAGCTGACGGTCAAGAACCGTTACCCGTTGCCGAGGATCGACGATTTATTCGATCAGTTGCAGGGAGCATCTTGGTTCTCCAAGATCGATTTGAGCTCGGGCTATCATCAGGTGAGAGTGGGGGACGAGGACGTCTAGAAGACAGCATTCAGGACGCGATATGGGCATTATGAGTTTGTGGTGATGCCTTTTGGGCTCACCAATGCCCCGGCTGTGTTCATCGACCTCATGAACCGGGTATGTAGGCCGATGTTGGATCGGTCGGTGATTGTGTTCATCGACGATATTTTGGTATATTCGAGATCTAGAGAGCAACACGAGGAGCATTTGAGGGAGGTTCTTGGAGTTTTGAGATCGGAGAAAATTTATGCAAAGTATTCCAAGTGCGATATCTGGTTGTAGGAGGTCCAGTTTCTGGGGCACCTCGTTAATTAGAAAGGGATATTGGTCGATCCGGCCAAGGTTGACGCGGTGATGAGGTGGA